TTGCATCAACTAATAAAAAGTGTTTTTTCGTGTAGGTCGAGCAAATGGAAAAGTGTTTATTTACATACATCAAACAAATGAAAAGTGTTAATTTGCATAGAGGAAATAAATGAAAATTGTTGAATTAAGGCTAGATATAAACAAAATAAATAATTAATTGGATTAATGTGTTTGCAGGTTTATAAAATACTGTAATTTCAATCTCAATTCTAGTTGGTTGTATTTTAATTTTTATTTGGCTCCTCAGCATTGGCCATACAGTGGGGTGCTATTGGTGACGTCGGTATCATACAAGACACAATGGGTGACAATAATACAGTGGTGGGCGGTACATTGCCTCAAAGAATTGGTTCTTGTCTCTCTGTTCTTGATACTTTCCTTGTGCAATCACATCCAGTGGTGTCCAGCTATGTACTGGCAGAGAAATCTACCGGTGTCAAGAATGACCAAACTTCAACCAAAGCCACCTTGGTTGATTCTGTTGCACATATTTTGGGAGTCCAGGACCCATCCACTTTGAATCCTACCACAACTCTAGCTGATCTGGGACTGGATTCGTTGATGGGTGTTGAAATTCGCCAGACTTTGGAACGAGACTACGATATTGTCATGCCAATGCGTGACATCAGACAACTCACAGTGAATAAATTAAATGAACTTTCGGATAGTGAAGCGTCTACACTGACCAAGAAAGACATTAAACAAGTTGCCATAAATGTTGAAAAGACCACATCTACTGCTGCCGATGTGTTATCTGCGCCTTCCCCAAAGACTATTGTTGATTTACACAAGATTGAAAATGACGAAAATCATCCACTTTTCATCATCCATCCTATAGAGGGCACTGTTACTTTATTAAAGGACTTAGCATGCAAACTACAATGTACATGCTATGGTATTCAATGTACACCAGATGTTCCAACAGACACAATAGAAAGCATGGCACAATACTACATTGACAGAATGCAGGCAATACAGCCAGTTGGACCTTACAGACTTGCCGGGTACTCATTTGGTGCATCTGTGGCCTTTGAAATGGCATTACAACTTCAGAGCCAGGAAAACACTGACAGCAAACTGGAGCAGTTAATCCTATTGGATGGCTCTCATGCATATGTTTCTGCACATACACAGACGTACCGAGAAAAGTTTACAGTGGGTGATGAGAATGAAGCTGAAACTGCCGCAATGTGTGCATTTGTACAGAACTTCATACCAGTCAACTATACATTGGTAAGTGTGAGCAAGTAGAAGTTTAGAGCTATATTACCTAATATTATATAACAAATCTTAAATAACTTAACTTAACTGTTGACTAATTGTAACACTTGTCATTTATTAATATACGGCTTGAATTGTATGGGGATATCTAAGCATGGTGATGTGTAGGGTTTTCCAGCTGTGACAGTTTTTCATAAGAGTAAATAGTATGCTTCTGATCTTGAGGGCAACAGCATATACCTGCTTGCCTGAAAAAAGACAGTAGAGAGATGTTTTATAAAACACCACATCTAGATTCTGCTAATACATGTACCTTGAGATAATCTATTTGTCCAGCTTTGTTTGTAACTTGCAGTCAATGTTTTCTCTTACAACAGTTGAAAGAAGAACTCGCTTCATGTGAGTCTTTACAATCACGTCTGCATCTAGCGAGCAACAAAATTGTCAGTGTATATCCAACGCAAGATAAGGATGTTTTGATGGTGGAAGCAGAGGCGTTCTACAGAAGATTGCTTGCAGGTGATGCTTACAATCCCATATCAAAATACAGCGGTGATGTGTTATTATTCAGAGCCAAGACAGGTAGCGAGTCTGGGGACAATCTGGGAGAAGATTATGGTCTTAATCTGGTGAGTATCATGGGGTAATGCATACTGGCATGTCCATGCTGCTTGTATGATGTAATACAAGCAGGCTTCACAATTCCTATTCGCCAGCTAGGATCGTTGGTTAAGTTTGTATAAAACATTACTTGTTTAAATTGTTTCTGACTATCTTAAATATTCAGTTCAACACCATATTATCCCAGGACCAGTGTCAAATCTGTTCTGAAAAAGTGGAATTTTTATTCATGTTTGTCTTGTAGGACATCTCTGAATGCAACAATTGTAAAAATATATGCACTTGCATTATCAAAACAAATCATACGTATTATGAATTACTATGGTATTCCTGAAATAACCCTCTTTGCATTATGCTACAAGTGTTAGCAATCAATAATCAATGATTTTAAAATCATCTGTTGCTACAGGTTACATCATAGCTAAATATGTTTTATTTCTAGGTTTGTGATGGGATAATAACTACATATCAAATTGACGGTGATCATACGACTTTTATCCAAGGACAGAGCGCCAATGAAATTGCCATTATTGTGAATAATTTATTTGCTGGTCAAAGATATACCAATGTTGAAGCATAGAGAGTTGATTACCCTGTGAAACTGGAATTGTTTTTATTGTGCAGTCAGATGATCCAAGACTTTTATCCACGGACAAAGTGCTTCTGCAATAACTATTATCATAAATAATTTATTTGCTGGTCAAATATTCACCATTGTTGAAAAAAAATAGTGGGTTGATTACCCTGGGTCATTTGTGAAAGTAGAATTGTTTTATTTGTCATGTCAGATAATTTAAGACTTTCATCCAAAAACAGAGTGTTACTGAAATAACTATTAATATGAATAATTTATTAGCTGGTCAGATATACACCAATGTTGAAGCATAGTGTGTTGATTACCCTTGGCTGCCACTAGTGTGATAGGTAGAAGATGAGGATAATAGTTTATTGTATTTTTTGCCAATTACCAGTACAGCTGATTATGAGTCATAATATTTTATGAGATTCACGTAGCAAAATAGTAGTGTACATGTATTATTCTGTCAGCTAGATTATATATTTCATCAAACAGTTATCCTAACATTTAATGCCCAATTAAATTGGTTTTATTATATACCCTACTTTAGAGGTTTTACAGTACATTTTAGTACGTTTTAACTACATTTTCAAAGGGTTATGACATTAAGTTTTCAAATGATGACCACTTTCTAAGAAAAAATTATAGTGTCTTGCATTGATGGCAAAAAAAAAATAGTTTTGTTTAGTAGTCACGTTTTCACTGTCACAGACACAAAAGAGACTTGCAAGGTTGTTTTATATAAATAGCATAACATCTGTAGATAATTATGTAATCTCCATTTTCTGCAATAACTGATGATTTTAGATCACAATAGATTAAACTTTGAGACTTTTTAAGATACATATCTAAATGTATGTAGGCATTACTCTTGATATTGTTGGAGGGGTGGGTGATTTCTCTAGTTTTATTTTGATTAAAAATGATTAGATCGACCTCTTTCATATATACATGTAAAACTGTAAACTACTTCAATATAGAGATTGCGTTTGTAGACATTCCCATATCAAAGTGAAAGGTTTTCATTAACTGTGTACTACCTGTACTACCTGTAAGCATAAGATAGCTAAGAACTACAGCTTAACAAACTTTGCAGTCTCATATGAATGCTAGAAAAAAAGACTATTAAAATAAACTATCCAAAAGCTCGCATATAGAGCAAAATATTGAAATGAAATTATTGCAAGCAAGCTTAACTATTACATTGTCAATGAAGGAAAGTTGAAAATTGTACTCTTGTAAGCTTTCTGGTCTATATAAATTAAGTCTTTTAGAAACAGTGCAACATTTTAAACAAATTTTTAAGCAATTTGACCATTTGCTGTTACTTTAACTTTTAAATTTGTCAGTACTTTACCTTGTTAAACCCGTTTTTGAAGAGTGTGTGAAACTTGAAATATTGTATGGTATATATTAATCATGTGTATTTCATTTGTAATATACAGGTACAAACAAAACAAAACGCACAATAATTGGGGGATAAAAAAGTTGTGATGTACAATATGTGCTCTTTTTTTGAAAATGTTTTGTACAAGAAACGATTGTATTAGGTAATTTTGTGTCAATAATTGTACATTGTCTTGATCATAAGATTAAATGTTTAATGCACATGCTGGCAAATAAAAAAAATTACACATGTTTTTTTTGATATAGAAAATAGAGTGAAATCATTGAATCTTCGCCATTTGGTAAATAATATCAGGTTATTGCGAGGATACCTCAAAGTATGCACCGAAGACAAAGTATGCGCGTTGGTCGATGCGACAGCATACTTTGAGGTATCCTCGTAATAACCTTATTATTATTATACACCTTTTCGTCCCAAAGATACATCATGGGAATGCCGAAATCCAAAGAGTTTCCATATTTGGAATTCGCATTTCCTTATATGGTAGTATGAAAATTCCCCGTAAAATACCGCAAAATTACGGCACTGTAGCTTATGACGTTACGGCGATGTATAATTAATATAATAATAGTTAATTAAATTTATGACTGACAATGTATGCCAACACTTTGAGTAGGTCGTGCAACTCCTTGACTGAAATGTTTTTTTTTTTGAACTTGTCACGAAGTATGCAGAAGCCAAACTCTGCAGTAGCATAGCTATACTTTTAGAGCCATATCAAAAATAATATTAAATTTGGGGGGGGGGGTGAGGAATTGATAATCTACGAAAACTTTAATCATATCAGATACTAATTTAATGTTATAAACCGGACATTTTCAACACTAATATAATGACCGTACAGGATGTATGTCATCTTCGCCAGCCAAGGTCCGTTTATTCTGTCATCGCCTCCACTATACCTGGGGAAATTCTATCCAACGAATGCGTATTTAACCCTAATTCTGCCTGCCTCGTGTACTTTTTATATTGACTTCACCAGATAATGGTTAAGGGCCTCCTCTTTGGCAATTCGATCAAATAGGCGACCTATCGGGTGAATTACGCACAGGTTTGTTTAGAAGTATGTACGATTCGAACGATGGATGTATTTATACATTTTGTGACTTTTTAAATGGAACACGTCAATGCCATTTCGTTTGAACTCTATTTTCAGTAGAACACACTCAAAATGGGTTGTAAATTCTTCTTTTATTGACAAATGTTAATTGTTAGGACTTTATTTACATATTTGCTTGTGATATACATAATGATAATGACTGAAAACAAGTATTCGTGTTTACAAAGAAATTCTGCACACAGTTTATTATACATAACGTTGACTATACATTTAAAATTTAATTCAAAAGTGAAAATGGTATATTAGCCGCAATATCAATAAGCTGTGATAACCGTCTTTTCTGAATTTACATATAATGGTACACATATGGTGCAGCAGTGTAGGACGCAGCAGTGATGGAATATACGATTTATTGCTCATTTCTGGCCTTTAGTTTACAACAGAGACCGAGTAAACCCGCACAACAACATAAACCAACGACCATATAACCGACGTTCAACATCCAAAATGAAAATAAATACAGGGTCTTGTCACAGTAGTCTGAAGCGGTTGGGTCCTCATATGACGGCTCGTATGCTTTATATATCCAAACACTGCCTGCAAATGAAAATGTACACTAAAATGTAATTTATATACATTGTCGACGAAAGACAAAACAATCTCTACAATAATTCCATCCCGACATAAATAATGACACATGCCTGATGTTAATGTTACTGTTTGCACGTAAAATTACCTGTTATGAACCAACACATCATAAAGAGACTCACGAGTCCACTTATACAGCCACAACAGTTGCCAACGGTGCCTTTCTTCTGCTTCTCCTCATCGTTCTCACGGTATTTTGATCGACATCCCCCTACAGAAGTGGCTAATGAAAACAACGAACAGCTCCCAGCAACGATAAGGTATATAGGGATGTATGGCTGAGCATTACAATCGTCTTTATACATGGAACCTGTGGAACATAAACAGCGCATATACTTATGTAATAGTTACCCATGGTGATGTATGGGACTTCACTAAACCAGCATTGGTTATTATGATATAGGTTATATGATATGGTATAGATAGAGGTTGAGTGAGTACAATACCGGGGTGGGGCTACCTCGGTTATATTGATGAAATCTTAGTAAGCCTAGTTGGTAACTGAGTGGTATCCATGAAACAATATGGAATTAGTGGAACCTCGCCGTCATATGCGATGAGAACACTTATTCCGGAACAGAAAGTATCCGTTAGACTTATTTAGTGATAAACAACTGTAGCAGCAATGCCGATTTTCCAGGGAATAGATAATGGAAATTACAAACTTAGTTGCGTCCGATATTGAACATTGCACAAGGAGAAACGCCGTACTATCGTATCAAAAAAATAAATAAAATAAAATCTTGCAGTAGTAATGTAGTAATGTTTGGTCAACTACATATAATTGCATAGAGAGTTCAAAACATACAATTCTCTTTAGTTTATGGCGACGTCGATAGCGAAAATTAGCTGAAGCAAAATGTGGCGTCTCTGCTAATAGAATGACGACTTCTTACGTAATTACTCGCTGTACCAGGCTTGGCTCAAATAGTACAAATTCAACCAATTAGTATGCAGCTACATTCTTCTATTTGGTAACTAGCTAGATAGATGCTTAGTAAGGTTAAAAGGGTTTCAATTTATTTGGCAACTTAATAGTCTGTCACTAGGCATTTTAGTGTCCTACTAAAGCCTAGTTGACTGTTAATTTAGTCTTTTTCACCATTTGTTTTCCATGTAAGCACGTCTGATCCATAGAAAATAGTTCATAGTTTATGATCCTTGTTTATAGTTACACCTCGTGTCCAATAACTACATACTCACCAATCACTATCATCGCAATGGGTATAGCAGCAGTAATACCAGTACAAATCAGACAGCCAATGATCAATGACACTAAATAAAAAAGATAAATTTATTGTTAACAAATGAATTCCCATAGGAGTTTGAATGCAATGCGTAATACAAAGATGGTGTGCAACTGACAAGACAATCACCATAAGGTACAGCCACTGATGAGCCAATCATATATGAACTAAAAAAAAACGTAAGGTGATTTTATTTTTTTGCGGGAGAAGAAAATAAAAAGGTATGCATACTATACTTCAAGTAATTTAAAATGGAAAATACATGACAAAATATAAATATTGTATACAATATTGACAATTCCAAAATCTTGATGCGACCTAAGAGGTAATTTGGGCCACCTTCATACAGTTCAACCACATTTCAGATTTAACCTTCCACTGACCATGACCATTGGCGATATTTATGCCATAGATTCAACTAGAGAATATTAATGATCTTCAAATGATCTCAAACAATGGGCGAATTTTGGTAATGAGCGGTATTTATAATTTATCAACTCAGTTGACATGGAATGACTTTGAACATTTATTGGCTGATCACCACATCCAGTGATCTAAATTGGCAATAATCAATAGTTGTAGTTTCAAGTTCGTGTGGGAGAGTATGTTATTTATTTTGTGTGATCATGAACATAAATAAACATAATGATATTACATTTGATCTGTTACAAGACAACATTCAGCAATTGTCTACGTACAATGATATTTAGTAACAAAAAAATATGTGCTATATATAAGTCTATAATTGAATATGAATTATCAAATTTGAATGTATTGAATGCTTTTGACATAATGGCGACATGCACATTTGTACAGTGAAGCAGACATGATTCAACTGCTCGTTGAGTAATGAAAAAACGACCACGAAAAACTGAACTACACTTCTTAGTAATTAAACGTTCCATGACACTGTCTGCAATCTGTAATATATGTGGTTTTTTTGTAGTTATAATAAGACCTATTCACCTGATCCACATATTATTGCTAAGAGACTGTGGGCAAGTTCCTTGTTTCCATCTGACTCCTCTTTAGCCTTCTTGATCTTTGACAATACGCTTTCTTCATACGTCGGAGGGGCACCTGTAACGATGGCAACAAGGTTTCAAACAATAACTGTGGTCGTTGTTATAGTATTTCGGAGTATTCACATCAACGTTGTAAAATAAGGAAGCGAACTTGACGACTAGATATCAATATTGTAATAATATAAACATGATGAACCAATCAGTTTGCAGATTTATATGTATTGCATATGTTAGAAGGCAATGGTCGAGCAGTTCTCGTTCGCAAGCGTGGTGCCAGTTCGAATCGTGTGTTGCGTGTTATGTAAATATTCGTTTGTCTGTAATTATTCAGAACAACAACCAATAATCATTTACAAATGGCCGCAATCTCGTGGACAGCGAAAGCCATGAGACTTCCCCCCCCCCTCCATTCTCTACTGTCATCGCGTCCACTGTTCTCCGACTATGGCTATTTGGAAATATGAACACAGTGACAGTAAGCAATGGAACAACATTTTGGGGCAAAAACACTATTTTGTGGTTAAAAATCAGTCGTGTGGCTCTCTTGCATTCAAATTATCTCACTGTTATTTGCGAATAATGTTTATTAGTTCACGAATTCTCAATTCTATAGCTGATTTGATATTACGTTTACACGTTTAGACCAAAATTTCTGCGCTTGACCGTAATCTGGTGGTTTGTCTTTTGCCGATTCAACATCCTGAAATAAAAACAGAAAGTAAATTCAGTATTTTGATACACTCATGCCGTCTCCAGTGATGTCGCAGAAACGAAAAGAAGATAAAACGTTCAATATAATGCTGAAAAAACTCGAAACTTGAATTCTCTCTCCTGAAAAAAATAACGCAGTGTCGAGTAGCTGATGTCACCACAAAGACGGCGTAAAGGTCGAGAACAGATGTTTCAAAAGGCTAAGCTTTTCCATATTATATTTCTTATTGGACAGTGCGTTGTCATTTTGTTTTAGATGGGAATCAGAATGTTAATCACTTCAAACATGACAAGATCACAGCGAGTGTTCGTAATTGTGTACTTCAAGCAAACGCAACAAACCCATGTTGAAACAATTGAAACGAGGAGTTTAACTATTCCTTTTTCCTTTAATTATTGTAACTTAAGGGAAATGGTAAAAGCATTAATATTCACAGTGGTCAACACATGTTAATGCAATTGTTTCTGAAAAAAAAAATAACCAACTAGAACTTTAATTGAATTACTAGTATTACACGTAAAAGTATTTGGTACATTTGTTTGGGCAAAATAGTGTGCATTTATAGAAGTATTTAGTGGGGGGGGGGGTCAACGACAGAAAGTAGATGTGTGTGCCCAAGTAGAGTTATTTCATGTCGTAGAGAAACGCAAGAAATGAAGGCATTCTGAAAGCTGATGATAGGCTTGAACCCTATGAAAATTGACTGCCCGACCAGATAATTTCCAACTTTATCATTTTAATCAAAGCACAAGAATGAAAGCCGATACTTCGATGGTTGATTAAAATTAAAAAAAAAAATGTTTCGAGGTACAAGTGTCTCTTGATTTTAGCCCTAAATATATTTATGTAAACGATAGCTGCATGTATACGTAGATTTTGGTTTCAAATACCCCGGGAAAGGGTTCTGTGTTCTTCGTGTTATAAGATGTTCGTATGCTTGGAATTTTCCACGCCAAAACGACGAAAGCGATCGAAATTATTTGCCGTTGCTCAATGTTACCATAACGGATCGTTGAACTGTGAAAGTTTGGTATCTCCCCCCCCCGAACTGAAACTGTCAAATGGCATTTCCTTTGCAAATACAGTTGGTAATTCAAAGATACGTCGGGAAATCAAGACCATCAACTTGCCTTATGACGTTTTTCTGTGTGAAAAATACGTTCCACGATAAGTGACCGAAGGTTACCAAGTGGTTGTTCTAGTTAGTAATATGTGTAACTGACTGATTAAAATTTGATCAGTCATTGGTGATAAAACTACAATGTAATGTGCCAACCAACTACGCAATACCGTTTCAGAAGGATCTTTTAAATACATCGATTCAAATTTAATTACTATTACTATTACTATTACTATAACTTACCAAATTTAAATCAAACATTGTTTTAAGCAACGCGTCTTCATCAGAGACGCCGCCTTGAAACAAACCATTGAACAAATTTGCACGAACAAAGCCCTCTTCAATCACCTAATGTTTATAGTTCGGCGTGTTTCACTGTCATGCTTGACGCAATTAGTCAACTAGTTCACGTCGGTAGTATGACTACGGGCGGTCGCAAAAACAAAACACTCCTTAAATTGCATGGGGAGATCGACTCCTACTTGTAATTACAAATAATTGAATTCGTTCTAAAATAAGACTGTTGTAAGGGATGTTTTGACAGTGTCAAGGTGTCGACAAGTTTCCGATGAAAACAAACAACTCTACATTCACATATCCACATACAGAGCCACGAGTGTGCCGTGTATAAACATAGTCTAGTACTTCAAAGTCAAGGTGAATGCTTCAGATTGAATCACTGAATCCGACAGTATAATCTGGAATCTACGTAGAAGATCATCATCGTAATGCTATGTTTAACAACTTAGGAACACGTACGCTTTTCATACATTGAAAGTCAATAACCTACCTTGTTCATGTTAGCACCGTCCATTTTCGTATCGTCGATTTTCGTTCGCCATCCACTCTATTATATTGCAAACTAATTTGCATATGAATAAATATTCCCGTTGTATTTTTTCCATGACACGTGACAACACTTGGAGGAAAAAGTGCTGACTAACGGTGACGAGGCAAAAAGTGGTGACTAACGCTAATACAGAGCAAGTGATATCAAATTCAAAACACGAACATACGTAGAAGATCATCATCATAATGCTATGTTTAACAACTTAGAAACTTAAGCTTCCATACATTGAAAGTCAATAACCTACCTTGTTCGTGTTCACGTGGCGTTCATCTTTGTATCATAGATTTTTAGTTCGCCACTAATGTAATTATATTATTTTCCAACCTAATTTGCATATAAATAAATAAATATTCTTCGTTATTTTTATTTTCGAGGGAAACCAAACCAAGTCAAAATTGTAATAAAAACTGGCAAAATTGGGCTGATTAACGGTGACACAGAAGACTGTAAACACAAAACACGAGACGTAACGGCAGTGTAGAAAAAGTGACACCATATTCAAAACACAAACGTTACGACTCAGTACGCGTCAACAATATGAATATTGAACTCGGCCAGTGACCAGCAAGCACTGAGAGGTTATAGAAACTCAAGGATCAAATTACAGTATAACCGGCTTCAATTGAAACATACGATAACGCGACATTGAATGTTCTTATGAATAGAAGCAAACAATTTATTTGCTTATTGTAAAAGTTTATATCGCCTCCACTAAAGGGTAGACCATTTGAACATTTCGGGGTGGCATAGACATTTTGGGGAAGAATAAAATCACAAACGTACATTTGCTAGAAAAAAATGCAAAAAGGGACATTAAAAAATAATTAATCTACCAAAATGCCGAAAAATATTCTAAAAACAATTTAAAACAAATTATTGCAGTATGGTAGCCAGAAAAAAATATAAAACAAAATATATCGCAAATAACGTATAAATTATAAAAAAAAAAAGTCAATGACATAGTCGCCGTTTTTTATGTGACTGTGTCAATTAAAATCAATGAAAGATGTATGATTATAATTAAATGTTGGGAAGTACTCAGCCTAATTAAAATAAGGCATTACTTCAAATGGTACCTTGTGCAGGTTTTGTTCAGTCAAAGAGAAACCTTCCAGAAATGAGATTTTCACATCATACAAAATGTAGTTATCCCAAAAGTGGCATGAGAAATATGTAAGATAAAGATGTGGGATAAAAATGGCTACTAGTTGGTCAAAATTGCAAAAACAACTAGATATACCATTCAACCAATAATTTACCACATTTAAAATTGTTGGGAATATACCTTTGAGTAATAGGTAGAACAAAATTGCAACCAGTCAGTCGATTTGAATCAAAATGCATAGTGGCTAGCCTCAGTAGCCCACCGAGTTAATATTTCAGACAAATAAATATTAAAGCCCTAATAGCAATGACGTTTGTATTATTTCCCCGTGTATAACCCTTTTCAAATAACATTCTCAAAACATAATAGTAAAAACTGATGCTTCTTGCTTCTAAAGGGCTAACTGTATCAGAGACGACTACGCATTTTGAAATGCTGAATTACTATCTCAATACACTAAGCTGATTGTTCTGTTTGTACCAGTCGCAACTATAATGATGATATTTGAAGAAAGAAGAAAGAAAAAATAAGGCTATTTGCAAAAGAATGCAACTAATATATCAGTTGCTTTATACTATATATGTGTTACAAATATATATATATTTATTTTAACTTAAAATAAATAGCATTGTCCTATATTGGTTTTACAAAATAAAAGTCTTCGTCTGATTTGGTACATTCCGATCTGTGTGAGTTGTCATTGCATTCCTACAATTGACGCACGAGCAGACGAAAACTTGAAAGGATCTTGTTTGTACATTTCCTGTCACCATAGCTCCTTACTGCCTTTCACGTTTACTATCTTGTGGAGATTGGAAAATGTGACAAAAATCGGAATGCTTGACATATTCATGCCCCCCCCCATGTTTCAAATTGTCCACCCCAATTCCTAACACTTGTTGATGCACCGTATAGCTTTCTTCTGCACACACCGGGAAACTAAACGTACTAACCATTTTGTGAAAAGCCGATTGGAAAATTTGTATCACAGGAGCTTCGTCCTGATAGGTGATATGAATATCAAAGTTACTCTCATCTCTGTGGCCCTACATCAATATTCACTGATTTTTATTATATATTACTGCCCGAATATTGACGTTTGTGCCCGAGCGCAGGTGATCATTTTCCCGGCGTTAGGAGGGCAAATGATCTCCTTGCGCGAGGGCACTTAACGCCCATATTCGGGCAGTAACTTTCATTGTTGACTTTGATTGGTGTGAAGACCAACGTGTACAGAAAAGAGACACTACCTAGGTTTATCTAAATATCCTGGAATGATTGGATAACATCAGAGGACCCTGAGAAGTCAAAGTCGGTACTAGTGCACATTGCGGCCAGATCAAGACACATATTCATGTTTTCCAGGGGCGTCGATCCATTCTGAAAAGTGAGGGGGACACTTTTGTGTCCGCGTAAACGGCCAATGAGAAGGGGGGACTGCCCTATGCTCCAACATCTCTATGTTCCGACATCACTATGTTCCGACACCCCTATGTGCCGACACACAGTATACTTGTGTCAAACTTAATCTGACT